GGACAAGACCCCACAGGTCGGACAAGACCCCACAGGTCGGACAAGACCCCACAGGTCGGACAAGACCCCACAGGTCGGACAAGACCCCACAGGTCAGACAAGACCCTACAGGTCAGACAAGACCCCACAGGTCAGACAAAACAACTGCACATAAAAATATATACAGAGTAGTTCATACCCCACTGGTCTGGAGGTCCCATCATATCATGTGGGGGTGGTCCTCTTGGCTCTCTTCCCATATCAGGTCCTGGTCCAGGGAATGGCCCAGGATGTCCTGATGGCCCTTGTGGCCCTGGTGCTGGTCCTCCACCTATGGGACCTGGAGGTCCTGGGATGTGTTGTGATTGCGGCTGTGGTTCTCCTGGCTGGATATGAGCTGGTGCTTCATTGGGCTTGTGTAAAATACTCTGAAATGCATTCAATTTATTATTAATGCTTTACATATTTCAATTAACAAATTGCTCATAGATTTCAATTGGTGGTCCGCTTATTGATCATAGATGACATCTTAGAATGTTCAAAACTCAAGTGGAACCACAAGCACAACCAGTGGTTTCACTGTAAAAATTGTATTATTTTAAGACCTCATACATGGTCAATAAGATGATAGTCAATGGAAATCTATGAGCAATTTTTTATTTATTTATTTACAATAACATAAAATGTAAACATCTAAAATTACAAGGAAAAAGTTTAAAGAAAAATGGTTTCAATCATAAGCTAGCTCTGTGCGCGAGCGATTAATCATTCTATGTGTCTGTCCTCTTACTGATCATAGATGTCAGCCAATCAGATTGCAAGAATATGCTCTGTTATTGTAAAATATTTATAATAATATAATTTCTTTTTGAAAAAAACAACAAGCTTCTCAGTCCAAATAGAATTAGATATGGGTGCAACTTACTTGAGCAATCACAGGATCAACAATCTTCATAACGACTTGTGCCTGCAGTAAGGCATAGGCAAGCTGAGGGTTCTGTAGTAACATCTGTCTGGCCTCTTCTGGGTTGTTCTGAATACAAATCTGCAAACAAGCAAATGTTGAAGCTAAATTCCTTTAACTGTAAATAATCCAAATACATGTATCAGGGCGTAGAAAACAGTTGGGGGGGGGGGGGGGGGGGGGGGGAGTCGGAAATTTCGCCCAGTAACATTGATCCATAAACAAGGTATGACAGAGCTAAAACTAATATGGCCAGTCACCATGAAAAGCAATTAACCGGCCATTATTTCAAGGCCCTTTGTATGAATACCTTCATTTGTTTCATGAGTTCAAACATTTGCTCTGGTGGAAGACTTGCAACAGCCTGTGTGATGGCTTCAGGAGCCTCGGCAGGAGCCACTGGAGGACCATGTGGGTTGGCCTCTGGTCGAGCAACCGCTTCCATACCTAGAAATATAAGAACCTTGTTAGAATGGACTACTTATAAAACTTCTTTTAAGCGGTCACTTGGCAAATTCCTGAGGGTAACTGATTACTAGAGGTTTGACTGTATTTACCTTTCATCTCTTCTTTGTTCTTCTCTGATGCAGCACTGTCAACTCTGAGTGCACGCCCATTTAGTTCATAACCATTGAGGTTGCGCATTGCACTTAGTGCCGTTTCTTGATCTTTATACTCACAAAACCCATAGCCTTTTGGTTTACCAGTTTCACGGTCGAAAACTAACCTGAAATAGAATTGTCAAGGTGGGCTTTAGTAGGTATGATAGACAGTGCCATTTTAAGATCCAAACATGGATGCCGTAGTGGTTTACCTCTTGCCTCTTACCTCTGTGGGTTTTACAACATACATTTTTAGACAGTGACATTTCGGACGTTATTCCTTTGTCCTTACTCCGACGAAGGACTAACGTCCAAAACGTCAGTTTCACAAAGCTTTTCACGGTGATCCAAATTATCTACACGTTCCTACTATTTTTAGACAGTGCCATTTTAAGCTACAACCATGAAGGGTGTAGTGGTTTACCTCTTGCCTTTAACCACTGTGTGTGAGTTACAACATACTGTACAATATATTTGCCGTAAGTCTGTACTTTTCCCACTCATATGACCATAACTCTAAGTACTGTACATCTATTGTATGTTGTACAGACCTGAAACTAACAACTGGTCCAACTTCAGAAAAGATTTCTTTAAGCTGTTCTTCTGACGCTTCATAGGGAATATTGCCAACTACAAATTGAAACAAAAAATCATAATCATCAATATCATCATAACATCATCATCATCACATCAACACATCATCATCATCACATCATTATCATAATTATAGTGACCGTGCACAATCCTTTGTTTTACCATTGTTTTACCATTGTTAATGGCTGAGTGAACAGACGAAAATCTTTCTTTTGGCTGGTAGTTCAAAATACTTAAAGATTTGTAAGAGATATTTGAATATTCCTTACGTCAACAATCCCATAGACAAAGTTTATGTTTAATTATTTGCAATTTCGGATGAGCATAAATCAAACGTTGTGCACAGTCAAGACCGGTTCAACATCAAAAGCGAACAAAGACCTAAAAACAATAGGTTTCCTAACCAATCCCCTTTATAGTACTATGGGAAAACAAATGAATATAGATACAACTCAAACTGGTCTGAGATGGGAAAACATTACACCTAAGATAAAGGGGTCAAAATATATAGTATTCTGTAAGACTTGTCATTAGCTAGCATGGCCGCCATGTCTTTGTCTTTTGATCATCTTGAGAATGGTCGAAAACCGCCATACTCGCATTCAATTTATGTGAGCAGAGAACCTGCTTCAATTTACTGCTCAATGTCCATGAAAATTCCCAAAATTCATAACAAATCTTATAACAACAAACAAATACTTACCAAATACAGATCGTAGAGATCTGTCAGCCGCTCCACTGAGTTGTTTTTGCTGATTTGGTGCAGACCCGTTGTTCTGCATCAAGGCTGCCGCCATCTTGGATTCATAAATTACCCAAGGTACCTTGACAGCTTGCTAGAAACAGGAAGCCCTTACTTAGATCTAACACGGAAAATTTCAGTATATTCTGAATAAAATTACATCATACTTACAATTAGCTTCGATTTCCTTAAAAAAATACGTATTTTTTTGAGCCTTAAATAGCCTAACTATAAGCTAATCGAATCTTTTAAGTTTTTTGACAATCAATAAAGGCTAAAAACGCTTTTTTCGAAGCCAAACGCATAGACTTTAGACCAGAGGCGATCAAACTTGAACTTCTTACTACTTCTTGTTTCGACTCCAAAATCCAAAAAAATCCCGCTCTCATACCGTAAAAAGAAACCTTTACTTTCTGTTAATTTAAAATCAAAATTTACGACTTCATTGTCCTGATTTCTAAATCAATGTATATATAGCATTCTTGAGCACTGTCAAAAACGAAAAACGTCTGATGTTTCTCAGTAAAAGAGGGATAAAGCTCTATTGATTTTGATGAAGATCTATTTTCTTAATACATACAAGATTTTAGCTGAGTCACGCGTATTTACGTCACAGCAAAATTAGTGTTCAGCCAATCAGAGGGCGACATTTCATTGCGGCATATAAAATCACTGCGGGTGAGCTTTTTTTCATTCCGCCATTTTGACATTGTGTGGCTGAAATTTTGCTCGAAAAAACTCGATTTTTAAAGCAATTTTGAGCTTTTGAACTCTTCAAAATCATCATGCAGATCTTCGTGAAGACTTTAACTGGTAAAACCATCACTTTGGAGGTTGAACCAAGCGATACTATCGAAAATGTAAAGACCAAAATCCAGGACAAAGAAGGCATCCCTCCAGACCAACAGCGTCTTATCTTCGCTGGTAAACAGTTAGAAGATGGTCGTACTTTGAGTGACTACAACATCCAGAA